GGCAGGTACGTTCTTTGATAACATACATTCACAATTAAGGTACAGTTATGTTAAAAGGGTAGCAAAATATCAAAGAAACCAAATCAGCATTAAGAATGGATTATAATTTGTACGAGAGAATAAATGCTCTTTTCTTAATGAAGAACGGAGTTTTAAAACTATCATGGTTCTACTTTCCAATTATTACGTAGGAATGTGTACAAACATTTCTTCCTTCTTCTTTTTTTCCTTGTCAAAAGTCTTATTTTGATCAGTTAATTCTTAGATTGTTTAACAATTTTCCATCAACTACATATATTTTTTAGTGTTGGATGTGATTGGGAAATGGCGGTTATGGCTTACTAGAAGTTGGGTCTTACTTCGTTTGTAGGGTATGTGCAATACCACGAAAAACTTTAGTAAGAATAGTTGATAGCTGACATATTTTAACCTCAGGGACATTTGGCCGGTTGTTGTGTTAACTTGATCGTCGCATTGCTTGATTACAAGGCAGAAAGCAACGGCGTTCAGATCGGAGACACCAGTTCCGTAACTAAGTGGCGGTTTCTGTACACATGCATACCTATCAGTTCACTTACGCATTATTTATGTGGATTACTACATTTGATTAAAGTTTGAGCGATGGTGTAAACTTGTGGACGTTATCCTACATCCAAATATTAATTGAAACGACGTTTCGGATGCTGGATTCTGTCGCTGTCCTTGCCTGGAGAGACGGACTAGATGTATCGACTGGGCATACAGATTACGTTTTATTTGAGGATTTTAATTTCCTTATGACTATGAATTGTGTCCCACAGTTGTCATTGTATCTTATAATTTTATTCTTCTCGTAATGCAATTTTCCTATCTCATTTTACTACGATTGCAGGCCAGGATCTCGGTATTCTCATCTTCTGCGGATTGAACGTGTAGAAATTTTACATACTTTAAGGCTGATAGACGTGGTTTTATTTTCTATATATATAAGCTTCAGAATTCTCTCAGCTCTAATTGGATTGGAGGCAGTAAACCTATCACTACAAACCCAATGGCATTGGCGTATATTAATGAAATACTAGTTAGTGTGATGGGTGAAGAGATGGGCTGCATACGGTGTTAGCTACGCTGTTGTACTGTTACCGACTGCTCCGTTAAAGTACTGGGTCGTAATGTTTTGATTTTTAATACCAAATTGTTTTACACCACACGTTGTGGTGTATTTAATATACATTACGTTTTGGTGGTCAACCATGCGATCTTCAGGGCGATATGTTGTCATTGTACTGACTTCCCATTGAAAGTGCTTGAGTACAGGGTACTGAGGCGAATATCTGCAGCCTACTAAAAGGACAGTAAAAGAATTGAGAACATTTTATAATCAGCTTCGTGATTTGTACGTTTCGCCAAATAGGCTTAATTATTAAAAGGTTGAGCAAATAAATTAATTATTTGGGAGCACGATGAAGGAGAAATGAGTTCAGAACCTTAGTCGAAAGCCTGAATGGAGATTTATACATAGGTGGGAAAATAATATTAAAATTGATCTAGAAGGAAGAGGGTTTGGGAGTGTGAACAGAAT